TGCTTGATGATTTTACAAAACTGCTGCATATTTTGCGTAAGTAAACTGCTTATTTTACTTTTGGAGGCCATTTTGGAATTCTATACACCTGTAGAAGCGGATATTGATAATTCATTCATAGCATGATATTTTCCAGCTATAAAATGATATTCTAAACCATTTTAGGACTATATATTAGATGTTTTAATTTAAAAGAGTATTTGTGGTGGCCATATTGGATTTGGCGGCCATACTGGAATTTTCAGACATGCCCATATGTCCAAAAAAGCTTAGAATTCCATTATCTACAACTGTGGCAAATTTCATGCTTGTAGGTAAAAAACGCACAATTCACCCTTTTTTCTGTACCAATTTCTTGGACTGCATATTGAATTGTGAGATTTTGTTAAGTGCTGTGTCAATAATATTTTTCATTGCCATTGGTTACTTTGCTACCGGTTAACTGTGCTGGCAGTGTATTAATTAGTTAACAGGTTCAAATAAAAACAATTGATAAACCCCTTTTTTATTCTAATTAGAATATAATAACAAGTGTTTTGGAAAAACACAACGATGTCGCATGTTCTCTTGCGAGCTATTCTGGCGGGTTTATCCCTAAAAGTCATCGCCAGAAGGCGCATTTATCGGATAGGAGAACTTACGTGCTGGGCTAATTGATACAGCACTGTAAAACCACTGTCTTCTTTTTATCCTGTCGGGATCCTCTCACTACCTGTGTTGTAAAGCAATGGGAATACTGATGAGACTTCCTAGTTTACTTATGATTCTGTAGGTAAAACATCCAGTCTATAATAAAAAGCAGTTAAAATCTGAAAATGAAATATCCCTGTGTGATGAGACATTTATACGGAGAAATAAACGGGTTTTAAGCATGAATCACGCCATAAAAATATTTTACTAGTTTAAGCTTGTCAAAGAATTCTCATTTCGTATTTAAAGTTTGAGGTTTCTCGTCATCTCACTTAGCAAATATATTAATATATTTTCCTACAATCACTTGTGCTTCTATCTTAATTAACACAAACGTTAGCCCATTTTACTTTAAAAATCAGTTTGAAAATATATTTGTGTTCTAATTTTGTATTGAAAAGGAAAGACACATTCATTACAACCCTTGAATATGTTTTACTTTTGCAGTATCGGCATCTTCTCTAATGCTTGTTTTACTCGCCTGTGTCTGCCTCCAAACTTACGTTTACAGGAAAGGAAAAAAGTAAGTAACCACAACCAGTTCCTGTTTTTAAAGTTAAAGGAGATGCATATTGGACAATGTTTTTTATGATAAGCCCTTCACAAAATGGGCTATTGAAATTTCAATCATTAATCCATTTGAGTATCATTTATGTACAAAATATTGTTCACTACATTAACATTCGTCACTTTCTCAAATAGTTAATGCACTCATTTTTATTGTGAATTTCTACAATCGGATATAATCAAGAGGTTTCCTATTACACAGTAAAATATATAATGGTTTGACGAGGGAGAAAACCATGGGCATCAAAACATCAGTGGAAATAGAAGAAGATGAAGACCTGTGCGTGTGGTCTGTAAAGATACTCATGGAGATAGAGCGTCCTCTATTGGTGGATATATTTAAATGGGCAGGCGTTTGTGCTTTATGTTTGGGGCTATTGCTGGCGATTCCTGCAACATATGCATTAATTCCACTACTCCTGTATGACGTATCACAAGCCATTCACGTATGTGTGTTGTATATGAAAAAGATGGAAAACAAGGACAAAGATGCTGTATTTCAAGATGTTAAACGTGTTCATCTTTCGTATACACTTCTTGCTGGATTTCCCGCTGGATCAGTGGCAAAGATTCTTGGTACACTGTGGCTGGACGGAATATGGGACTATTCAGATTTTGGCTTTACTATTCTCTTCGCACCTCATACAATCCTTATTCTGATTGCTGCACCAATTGTGTTTTTCACATTTTGCTGCGCATGTTGCAAGTGCCGTGAATCAGAACCGTGTAAAGACAGAAAGTTTTTGCTGATTTGCTGTTTTCTATACGTCATCTTTAGTTTATTGTGGCTAATTGGAGCGGGTTTGATGATATCAAGTTCCCCATACGACAACGGTATTGTCCACCAGATAAGTGCTGCCATCTATACAATCATAGTGCAGGGTATAAACACGGACCTTCCATTTGCCGTTGGCTTCGCTTTTGTTTTTGGTGCCTTCTTCCTTTATGCGATGGTACTGTTCCTGTATGTCGCCAACAATGGTGAGTTGTCAAAGTATACGAATAACGTCGAAATAAAATAATTATTGTTTCTAGAACTGCCCTGTAGTCAAGCGTTTTTTTTATTTTTGTAATGGTGTTAAAGGCCTGTTGTTTACTTTTCCTCGAGTTAGAGATGATGTGCTGAAGAGTGAAATGAACTTTACATGAAGTGTGGAAAGACTGGGTTCAAAGGTGCATTTATCATGGATTCTATATTCCAGGAAGACTGTTGAAAGTTATTCCCGAATTCTCAGATACCTGGTGTTTTGGTTGGTCGGCAGTGATACTGGTTTACTTCCTTGACAACCCGGGTGACGTCAGTTCGTTGTATATCAGGGTGTATGCCATGTTACCCTTGCTATTCTCCTGCCTTATAGGTCTAAACTATGTTGAATATAGAATCTTCCGTATGGCCAGAAAACGACAAAAGCTTTTGGAGAAAAGAAAAATACAGCAAGATGAAGCGAATCAGGTGACGGAAATGGAAGTACAGGCCCCAGTTTATTGGGTCAATTTTCAGGATGATTTTAAGAAATACGCAGGTAAAAAAATGCCATTTTTATCATCTTAATCTATTCTATTGTGTTGACAAATCTATTGTCAAATTCTATTGTGTATCATCTATTCTATTCTATCGTGTTGACAAATCTTTCTTATTCTGTACTCTTTTACATAAACTATTGTTATTTTTCACAGCGTTTAAATTGAGTAATTTTTTAATTAAAATTAAAAGAATCAACATTTTTGGAAAGAAAAATCTGTTTTACACAAGAAAAGCATATACAAAGAAAATGAAATTCCTGTTTCTCATCTTGTAGGGGAGGAAGGAAGTGTCATGACAGTTGATGTCAGTGGCCAGATTTGGGACGAGGTCAATCATATGATGAGAGAGTCTTGGTCTAAAGAAAAAATGCTTATCCGCGGAAGAGACAATAGAGATCACATTGATTTTAAGATAACGAAGATTCAGCGTGTCGAGAACCCCCGACTGTGGAGCCAATATTTTTGCAAATTACAAGATTTATCCAGGAAATGCGCACGAAATCCCATTTGTAGAGCGCCATGGATGCACGCTTATACGTGCCAGCTTTCCGGAATCTTAAATGCGCGCCTTAAAAATGAACTGAATGAATACTATTTTTTTCACGGGACGAGCACAGGTATTGCTGAAACAATATGTGCCACTGGACTTGATTTTAGGATTGGAAACGAGGGACTCTTTGGGAAGGGTATATACCTTGCAGAAAATTCCTCGAAGTCGGACCAATATGGAAAACTAAGTAAGACCGCCATTTGTATAAACTTTAATAGATAAACAGCCAAATCGGTGTTATTATATCGTTATTCAAAAACGCATTTTGTAACAAAGTACCATCATACTGATAGATGAATAATGTATTAATGAAACCATTTAAATATGACTTTCCCTTTAATGGTGACAAATGAAAAAAGCAATCTGGCTGATGGAAAATTGATCCTGATATTACGTATTGTTATTTTAACACTTTGACATTCAAATTGGTCTTGAAGGAAACCGCCAACAGCATCGGAGAGGAAAGCTTAAATAGACTTTGAAGGGAAATTTATATTTATGTATTAAGAGCAAGAGCTAATTGGGTAGTTGTGTTCTGAAACGACATGTTATAACCTTGAGTTTTAATAACATTTTTGTATTTTTCAGATGATACATGCCGCGGAAGAAAAGGAATAAAAATGTTCCTTGTTCGTGCCTGCATCGGTCGACCATATCTCACACGTGAAAAGAAACAATTTCAACGTCCTCCTTGTACTGTTAAAGGCTGTATGCAAGTCTTATGTACCCACACCAGTCATTTTGACTCCGTGATAGCAGACGTTTCCAATATGTTGTACAGAGAGTTTATTATTTACGAGAAAACAATGTGCTATCCTGAATATATCATCACTTACAACAGAATATAAAATTGAATCCGATTTAAATGACTTAATATTCGGTGAAAAGTCGCTTTGATTCCTGTGCCGGAGGTTCCTGACTCTGCTATAATGAGAATGCGCCAAGATGCACAAGGAGAGGTAGAGCTTCAACAAGTCTAGTTTAGAAAAAGGCGTTACTTAAAGAGGGCAGACGATGTAATCACTAATGGTAGGATTGACATTCGCTTGTATGGTAGAACACGGTGATTCTATATATGCAGTTTCAAGACAGATCAAGGGCATCTGCACTTTTATATTTGATTACAAAAATATTGAAAAAGGAAAATTAATACATGTGTTTTAGTGGGAGGGCAGATAATAGAGAGCAGTATATTTGTAAAACTTTCTCTTCCTCCCTTAAATAAAACACGTGCGTGTATTCAAAGGTGCGAGTTTATGTATTTTCTGCGACATTTTAGGTCATATGATCGTGGTGATGATGAAGATTTGACCAATTTCGTAAGCATTTTTAAACCAGTTACGTAGAGTAACTGTTTGTGATGAATTGTGTACATATGTTGTGTTACTGAGAACTCTTATTATAAGGCATAGACTTAATAACGTATATATATCTGTATATCAAGTGAAGATTTAGAAATGCGTCTTATTTAGAGCTTAATAAAATTTTGTATTACTATGATGATGATAAAGCTGAAACATTGCATATCATTGATAATTACCTTCATATTTACTGACCGCTTATTTTTTAGTTCATTACCATGTTTGCAACAATGATCATAGGACCCAAATTTTTTAGGAAAACTTTGCCACTTTTAAAACATTTTTCAGACCAGTGAATCTTCGGACAATAAACCATGTCAGACTATAAGAAGAGAACAATGAATTCGTTCCCCACCTCTGCAAACCCAAACGCTTGCTCGGTGCAGGCGAAGTCGTTTGACGTTTCATAATTCCATCACCGGTGTTTAATTTTTGAAGGATCATCTAGACTGCCTTGGTTATATACAAGGTGAATTGAAGAAAGCAAATATAACAGGTGCATACCTCTCAATATGGCAGTAACAACAACTTGCTAGTTTCAGTGGTTCTCTACAGAGAATGATTACCCCAGGTGTTTGCACTCATTGACATCACCTCTCTCGATTTTTCACCGGATGATTGACAAGTGGCAACTAAAACAGGTCAGTTAACATCAATTAAGTTTTTCATTTCATCATCATTGTATTTAAATTGTTCTGCTCCTCCTGGGCCCCGTAACTCGAAAGCATCGCGCATTGCGACCGAGCGCAACCGTCTCAATTCCATAACTCGCCACATATAATACACTGTACTTAGCGTCTGTGTGATATCGCTATTCGCAATGCACGGTGCTTTCGAGTTACGGGGCCCTGGTTTTTTACTCTGCTCTAGTATGTAAATACTAAAAGATCAAATGTATTTGAATTTGAAAAAAAAGCCCTTTTGTGGCCGCGAGGTGTGTTTTTGCCCGAATATTATCTGTCTGATAACAGTGGCACAAAACATTAAAAAAAAACAAAAACGTTTATTAAACTAGAATGAAGTAAGAAAGGATAAAAATTAGGGTAGAATAGAAAAAACGAATGTATGTATATTATTTTTTAAAATGAGGCTAATTAATGAAGCTTAGGACAATATCAAAATTACATTACAGCCATGGAAATACCAAACATGAGTTCATCGATACCAGGGGACGACGACCATGTCCAAATATTTCACCCTTTGCCCCAACCTTTGCTTTTTTTTTGAATGGCTAGCCTTTCCCCTCCCAGTTAAAAGTTACTTACCCCGTAGCTAAAAAAGCTGTCATATGTTCGAGTTCTTTTTCTTTTATTTCGAAGTATACAATACACTATACAAGTATATGATATAAAAGCATTTTAATGGCGCAACATTATTAATTAAATTTCTAAATATGCACCGTATCACTTTATGGACATGTCAAAGTGAATGCACCATGCTACTATTAATGTGGCATTGATAACGTGTGCATTACCAGCTACCACAATGTGTACTGTACAAAATTTTATAGCGCTTCGCCAAGGAGGCTATATTTTCACCTCCGTTTGCCTGCTACCAGCCCAGCTCAAAAAGCTACAGATGGATTTTCATGAAAATGGACTTGTTCAGAATAGGACACAAATGTGTTAACTTAAAAAGATAAGATTTTGTTGATGATCTGAATCCAAATATTTTCAAAGAATTCTACATCATTGCGACATAAAGCCAATGACTCGAACTTGTACAAGGGATGTGCCCTCAGCTACCAATGTTTATCACGGCTCATATTGATAATGCGACACTTGGCGTCATTATCTATAACATAGCGAATGAATTCTGGGAAACCCTAATGTAATGATCCGTTGATAGGCTTAAATGCCGACTTGCTGCAGTGCATCAGATTCATACTGATAATACGACACGAGGCGTTCATACGGGTGCCTCACTAAGAGCACCTTTGAATATCTATTTAAAATGTCCTTCCATACAGTGCAATTGTATTAAGTGACAAATGATCAAAGAATCTTCCCTCTCTTTCTCAAACATATCTAGAACCAATATTTGTCGAAATAAGCGGACCTTCTTCATTTTCCAGGACGCTGCTTTGGATATTTGGCAATAAAGAAGTCTTAAGTTATGTTTCAAACTGAATTGGTAGCTCATAACCACGTTTTAAATAGTGGCCCTAGTTCTCTTGGTTCGTCATCATGTCTTTTACATCCGCCCTTTGTCTCTGATGGAAAACCGTAGAATGCACGAGCTGGTTTTTCTCTCCCTTCTCTGTACTTGTCAGTCGCTGGTGTCTCTTGTGAATAAGGGCCTTGTTTAAGACTAAAATGAAAAGTAGATTTTATTGGAATATTTTGTAATATCCTGAAGTATTTGATATATCATTTTGATAACCATACGAAACAGATATTATAATTAACATACCTGTTTAATGCAAAAGAAACCCCAGAGGAAAAGGGCGGTAAAAACCAGAGGTCTATACACTTGTGGACCTAAACAGGAATGCTTTTTTTGCGGGGCCCTCGTTTTCATTTATTTCTCTTTTTTCACTAGAGGCGTAGCCTTCTCCAACGTCCCTCTGAATAGACAACCAAACGTCCACTTTCGATGGGCATTGAAACTAAATCATTTTAATTAAATTAATTAATTTAATTAATTAATTAGTAATTAAAATGCGTGTACGTCTATTTGGAAGCCGTTTACATACATCGTTGCTAGCTATAAAAGAGCGACGCTTCTGATAAAAAATTTGACTCCGGAACTCGGTGTGACTCACGTAGGTCCCTCAGTGATGGGGTTTTCCGGCTGCGCAGTTTTTCAATTTTGAACCTGAGCAGAATCACGATGGCTGCAACAGCTATCACAGCGTATAGAGCGCTCCTCGTTTGGCGCAACGGAGACCTGCCGCAGATGCGGGCCATGTTCAGCTTAAACTAGACAACAAAATTCAAGAAAAAAAGATGCATTTCAGATTACACACCTACCATCTTTCTTAAACATGGAATCCCGATATCTGATATTCATATTCCTATTCCAATTCGTATTATTATTATTATTGTTGAAATATAAGATAAAAAAACCTCTAAGAGTGCATTCCCAAAGATTTAGATCGATCCATTCGGATCGACCTAACTCCCTGGGGGTTCACGCTAAATTGCAGTCAGCCGAGCGCGCACGACAGTTTATTACCCCCTTACAGCTTTTAGTCGGCGGGACAGACGCTTAAGCCGGCTCAGCTGACAGTAATCTAGTGAGACTCCCCACAGGGATAGATCGATCTAAAATCTGTGGAATTGGGGTCTTACATTACACATGTGGAAGAGTCATTAAGAAAAACAACAGCTATATTTCTGTCCAGTTCAATTATCTCCCCCATTTGATGTTCAAATCCAAACCGAAACTTCTATAAATATAATGTTGGGATATTTTTATGACTACCATGTCCTATATTCCATTGGTGGCCATATGGGGCATAGTTCACTCGCAATTTTGAAAGAGGGTGCACTTTGGGGGTACTTTTCGTGTATATAAAGCATGCTTGTGTTGGCCCAAGTGTCAGTCTTTCGCTGGGCTCCGGATCACTCAATCATTTTCATTTGAAAGTGATCCCCCTAGCTTGTCGTCTGATAAAACGTTTAGATTTACAGTAGTCTGCACACAAGTAAAAAACATTATGGCATAGCGTTGTGGTTGCATGTCTAATTGTAATAAAGGTAAAATGGAAATTTGTTTAAAAAGCACGTAGAGGTAGCATGACTTGATAAGCGAGTAATGGCCGCCAAGGATAAAAAGTCAATTAAAAGTAAGCCTAGACCGATAATAATACGAACACAAAAGGGTAACATGGAGACACTTGCCGCATGCATGATATACATGTACATTCCAGTATAGAACAAAAATCTTTATACACATAGCGAGTGAAATGAGGCCAAAAAATCTACCCCTCGTATTTTTGGCAAAGTCCTCGATCTATCAGTGATATGCCTAAAGTTAAACCAATCAATATTACAGATAGCTCATCTCACCTCCATACACTGAACGTCAACGCTGTAGGAGTTTACACCTGACACATGGCGTTCCTTGAATGGTTAAAATTTTATCCTACCCAGTAACTTCATCACTGAGCTGACGACACAGGTACATGTACTTACCTGTAACAGTATTAATACGAAGTCAGCGCAGCCTCTGCAGTGAACATTTCACCATAATGACGAAAGATAATGTTGACCTCAGCTGAATATAGGCCCTGTAGGGTCGACTGTTATTTCTAAAAGGCGTTTAAATGGCCAATAATTCACCATAAGAAAGATATAGTGCTCTGTTGGACAACAGATAGAATAGTTAAAAGCCATTTAGTAAAGAAGTAGGAAGCTATAGGAAATACGGGTACATGTATACGTGCTGGCTAAAAGTAACGGCATGATAAAAAAAAACACTGTTAGAAAGCGAGAATATGCAACAAATCGAAGGTTTATATTACTAAGAACACTACACAATATTGCGGTACCTCTCTTATAAGCGCAAAGTAGCGTTGATTTGATGAATAATTTTCCCGAGACCTGTTTAACTTATCATAAAAACACTAAATTAACAATCGAGGCTTCAGCACGGAAAGTTGGTGAATTGGTAACTATTGTGTAAATCAGGTGAGCATCTCAGTGAGAGGTGTTCAGACAGGATCAAGGCAAGATGATGGAGAAGAAGGAAGCCTCATGCAACATTTCCACAGTGTCCACGTGTTAGTCGAATATATTTGCAGCAATCTGTCGTAAGCATTGTTTTGTGAAAGGGATTTTTGTTTAATTTCAATTACTCTTAGTTTCAGCTACTATCATGTGGAAAAAAATGGGCGTAAGGAGCACTTTCTGCTTGAAACTCAACATTGAAATAACTCAATCTATACTAAGCTTCAGCCCTGAAGTTTAATTGTTCATAGTTGATGGTAAATGTATTCTACTGTTGTTGCACAGTACTCTTTAAAAACTCTTACTGTTACATACTCGTACATACTGTTTTAATGGTAATTTGTTTTTATTAAATTTTGAAGTTTTTTATTCTTAAATGATATAATTTTTTTAACGACCAAAGTGATTGCTAAAAAAATTAGCACCCAAGTAATCTTGATGAAGAGAACTGTGCCACATTTGAGGCGGCCGCTTTATACACGTATTTTGTCTAGGCAAAAATCTGCAGTTGGACACTACTGTGCACGTGTTTTTATGTGTGCATGAATTAAGAGGTGTCTCTGGGGCTGGGTTGCTGTCAGAAATTACGTGTTTTCTTTACAAAAACAGACATAGTTGATAGTTGAAAATGTCTTTTTATTGACATTTGTACTTTGGTTAATACACAAATTCGTATCCGGACAATGAGATTTTAACCAATCTAATAAAGTACATGTTATAGTGAATATTATATTAGTAAAGCGTGTTATCAAGCGCTAGAGAAGTGTGGGTAGGTACCGGTAAATATAAGTCATGTCGTAAAGAAAGTTTTACATTGTATGCCTTTAGACAGTGAGTCTTTGGTTTGATTTTTTAAACTTTTATTGCGCCTTAGAGCATTTCGTACACAAAGACAAAAGCGGTATATGCTCTGTAAAACTGTGCAGGATGATGATCTTTGACCCTCACAATAAATTGCGCTGAGTGTTCAAACCCTTATACCCTGTTGGCTATGCAGAGTTCCACGCACACGCAGTAGTTTATAATGTGGGGCATGAGCTGCATCTGTTCGATTTATACTTAATTTAAATATAATATAAACTGTGTTGCTCTCTAGAGAAGTTTAGAGTGCATTCGTTGTTTGTCACTATTGCGGTCAGTCATCTGAACAAAAATCTGTGGAAAACCGTCCTCCCTGACCTCATAAAGATAAATGAACATTTCAGTCCTTGCGTATACAAAACTCCTCATCGCACGATGCACAAAGCAGGCTGATTGGGTTCTTCACAACACATCTTAAGTTGTATTTACAAGTATTTTTTGTTCATTCAAATGCCAAAGATGTTAAGAGAAGACACCTCTTCATATCCCTGACAATAATACTTTAACAAAAACTAAGAGATTAAGCAAATGATTCTCCTTGTACATAAAATAGAACAATGAACCATTAAGTCACATCTAATGAAAACAGAATAATCCCTCTCATAGTTAAAACATTTAAATACTAGTATAGCAATATGATGTTTAGAAAACGACATGGATACGTTTTGAAAATCTGATTTTACTGTAAAATAATATTCAGACACAATAATGAAATGGAACGAAAACGAGTAAAAGAAATTACTCACATATGAATTCCACGAAGTAATTAAAACGCTTCGCTTAATCCAATATACCTGTTTGTAAAAAATGGTAAAATCCAATAATTTTCATAAAATACCCATATTGATATTTAAACTGAGCTTGCCTTTCAAACAAATGAAGACTATAAGGAAACTGTTAATAACACTAAATTAAGGTTAAGAAATTAAAGTGGCGACCTTGAAAAACATTACCAATCTAATAGACCTTAATTTTGTAAAAAAAAAAAAAAAAAAAAACTTCCGATCTTGTCCGTTTTTCGAAGTCAGCTGGCCTTGTTATCACCAAAACTTTATAGTAATATTGAAATAAACTAAAATTCAATCTGGCTTCAATGATGATGATGATGATCTATGTGAGCGGCAATGGTATTGGTGGTGGAGACAGTGACGTCATGGACAGACGCAGGTAATCAGAATATATAGACACTTAGCCTTCGGTGTCTATATATGCAGTAAAAAACAACGTTTAAAACAAATCTTACATTTAGTATCAACTAGTTTAAGCCTTCACTCAGACATGTACAAAACTGAATACAAGAATGAGAGCCTAGCAACGTCAAAATAGGAAATAAAAGTAATATTTTATAATTTAAACTATACATCTTTAAATAGACTCATCGATAGCAGGGAATATATTATACATTCTCGTTTGCAAATATTATAAAAATCAAGTGACCAAATACCGACTAGGCGACTGAGGTGCGTCAATCAGGCATGCAGTCACAAAGTTCTGTGCCACTGACTTTAGTAGGCCCTATAGTTCAAAAGGAGCAACTGGAAACCACGAAGAGAAGTATAGGCCATGTTTGAGATCCTGATATTTTTTTATTTTAAGTCGCTCCTGGTTGTCGGTGCACAAAAATGTCCCAAATTTGTCAGCGATCGCTAGCCACCTGCTAGCAAACTAATACGATGTATCACTTCAAAAAATTATTGCAGCTGAGGTTGCATGAAGGTTTCCAAAAGGGTGTTAGTTCGATGTGACCAAGGCTTAACACAGTGCACCATACTTTCTCGATTTACATGGGCGGCTCATACAATGTATTTATTCTATAATCGCGTATTTTCATGTCCACCTGTTGTCAGTCTGTCTGTCCTTGTCCCCTCGGAATCCGATAGCGATCGTTCAGGAGCAGCGGTTTTACCAGTTGACTTAAATCCAGTCTGTACAAATAACCGCTCAACTTTCTTCCAAAAAGGCCCCAAACAAATGCGCATAAAAGCACATACCACGGGTCTCATATTTAGCATAACTATCTGCACCCACTGAGCAGCGTTCTCAGACACCGGCGTGTTCTTTAAGTGCAAGACACACGAGACAGCGAACGGGAACCAACGTATAGCATCGGAAAAGGCAATTTCAAAAAAGCTGCACATACTGTAAAAATCGGTTATCGATGACGGAGATTTCAGAGAGTACAACAAATATAGAAAAATTAGTGCGAAAGTCGTTAAAGAAATTACTGACATTGATAGATATGTGATTTCAACCGCAAAAGCCGCGTACTGTATCTCTGTTATAAAACTGCTTAAGACAAAAGGATAGCAGGTGCCGGAATGAATTTCAACGTTCATGGACAAAAGAATACCAAGACAAGCTGACATTGCAAGGACAACAACTATGCCAACGCACATTGTGCGCTTTAAAATATGCGGTTTTTCAATTTCAGTGATACGTCCGATGATTGCGTGGATAGCAGCGAAAAATACTAATAAAGGAACACAAACCTGAGGAAAAATATAGAAAAACAATGCAACGTGACACGATGGGCTCTTCCGCCACAAACTGGACATGTTGAAATAAGTATCTGTCATCTGCATACTATTAACAAATATTATCAAAACTGGTATAATCATTTGCATTTCAATGACACTCAATGCAACAGCAAATTCTTTCATCAGAAAAAATCCTGACAGCCTAAAATAAGATATAAGCAATCCTATAGACGACACCACTGAAATTAGAACCACACCTAAACAACAGTACTTAATTACGTCATCCATAAACATATCTGCGCATGAAGCAAAATAATCAACTTGTGACTGACATAAATTTGAGTGATGTAGCATGCAGCAGGCACTGAACGTATCTGCAATTATAATGTCAACATCACCCGGTGCCCCGGCATGTGTGACCTCCAATTGGTTCTGAGACAGATCAATCGACTTCACTTTGTGCCAACCACAAAACAGCCAGGTATTAAATGACTGGATTAAGTTTTTTGAAATGTTAAAGACAACAATGGAGACGTTATGAAACGAACAGTTGTCCAGGACCTGTATTAGACTAGCTGACAGATCAAGATGCTGCACAGCGGGAAGATTGTGGAAACAATGTCGCGGAACGGAAGTTATTGGGTTGTTGCTTATGTTCAGCATTTGAAGAGAAATCATATTGGAAAATGCACCACTTTGGATGATGCTTATGTTGTTTTGTGACAGGTCAATCCTGCGTAGATTAACAGCGTCTTGAAACATTCTTTTATCAACTTCCACCAGTGAGTTGTTTGAAATGTCAAGAAATAACAGTCGCGTGCAGCTTTCCAATGTTACATCTGATATGCGGTTATCTTTTAAAATGAGACTTCTTACCATATCTCTTCCTATTATATATGGCACTTCAGTTAAAAGTCGACTCTGATTAAAATACAGTGACCTCTGCGATAGTGCCCCAGTGCAGATTACCGAGAACCCGTCACAAAAACACACAGTAGGACATTGAAAACCATAGAATGCTTCATCATCTCGCAGTTTACATTGAGGGATTCCGTCACGCACCTGTCTCTGGGGC